TGGGGCTGCACTGAGCTCTGTTTGGGGGTCAGGCAAATGCTCACGTTCTGAGGATGGGGTTCGAAGGGTGTGCCATGGCTGAGAACAGTTACTGCTGACCTGGCTCCTGACCAAGGGAGCCAGTGGAAGGCACCTCAGTTGCTTGGGTCTGTGGCAGGCTTCCTAGGTGGTCAGGACTGGGCAGCAGGTAGGATTATGAATCAGGTGCCTGCCCTGGTACAGCAGCAGTTGGGTCCCAGGGTCCGACTGTGTGTTGTCTGGGAACCTAACGAGGTCAGGACGTGCACTGAATTCCCGAGTCAGGGGAGTGACCCAGGGTGCTCTGCAGACAGAAGTCACAGGCTGGCCTTGGGGCAAACGTGTCCCTGGCTTTGCTCTGTGAACTACTGGCTTTGCTTGTCTTTCTCTCAGCTTAGCACCACAGGGCTGGCTAGCTTCCATGTGTTCTTACAACCTGTCAGATAGGGTGGCAGACTCAGAGACTAGGGCTATGTCTTAGCTCCCTGAGTAGGCAGAGAGGGGAGGGGCCCCTTCAGGCCATTCTCACTTATCCCCACACAGGCTCCGGACAGCGGAGCTGTAACTACCCTCAGCTTTGGCTACAATTTCATTCCTGCCTGTGTGGCACACCTGACGCTGGCTTTCTCTGCCGTGGTCCACTCTGCCCGTCTGCCCGCTGGCTCCAGCACTGCGGGATGCCTAGTTCCACATAGTCCAGTCAGCCTCTCTGGGCAGCGGGAGCCACAGCCCCAGCGAGGAGGGGCTGGAACACGCCTCCTGACGGGTGTGGGGAAGCTAGGCTCTAGAGTCAGGAAAACGCATCTGAGGATCTAAATCAGGCAGATCCCCCTCATGCCAGGTCTCCTGGTCAGAGCTGCCCTCCACTTGTCACCACACAAGAGGAAAGCAGCTGCGTGGCCCACCGCTTGCTGCTGCAGGTGTGGCTTGACCTGCCAGGTCTCTGGTTTCCTTGCTGATGCTTCTTTCCCTTCTTGATCACAGTCAGATTTCCAGTAGTTGGCCCCAGAGATTCCCCTAGAGTAGGGTAAGATCAAGAGCAGGGGTCCTTGCGAAATGACCCCCAATGCTGGGGAAGGGTGCTGACTGTTCCCGAGTTCTCTTCCACCTGGAGTAACTGGAGGTGTTGCTGGCTGGCCTGGGGGGCTGGGAGAGCCTGCACACAGAGAGTGGCCGCTGCCTTACCCGGGTGACACAGTCATCCAGGTCTCACTGGGGCAGCGGGGTGTTCAGCCTCACTCCCTTGATCTATAGTTCTCAGTGATATCCTCATGAAGAAGTTATTAACTGCCCTTGCAAGAAGGAGCCAGGTCTGGGGCGACCTAGGTCACCACCTTGGTGACATCACATCACTTCTCTATGTGGAGTCCTTGGAGGAGACTTCCCAAGTTTAGAGGCTCACTGGGTTTGGTGGCCCTGGGGTTGTCAGGGAAGACCAAGACTTGCAGCGTGGGTGACCAGCAAAACGGAAGTATTACTGGCAGGGATGGGAACAAAATGAAAAGAAGCTGGCTTTGGAAGAAGACAGGTCCACTCAAGAAACACTCGTTAAGGACCTACTGTGTGCCTCACTGCACGAGGCACGAAAGCACAGAGATATGACTGCTTTCTAGAGGAGTTTCCATCTTCACTCAGTAGCAATTTCTTTAGTGTCATGAGCATTTTAAAGTTCTAGATGTCAGGACAGAACAGAAAGACCTTACTTGGCTGCAAGGAGTTTTCACATGTAATAGTTCTCATTAAACTTAAAGTGTTATGAAAGAAATACACCCAAATATTGTAGCTTTTAGTAGTTAAGCTTGGGGATCAGCATCAGGTCACCCAGGGGACTTATGTGCCAGTAGCTGGCAGGCTGGCCTGGATTGGGGGTGGGATGGGGAGTGGGAAGGGTGGCTCGGACTGCAGGTGCTGACAGTGAGTGGAGGGCAGCTGACCCTGTATCTAGAACATGGGAGAAGGCTGAGGAAAAGCAGCCCTAAGGATGGAACAGCCGGAATCCTGGACACAAGCCGACAAGGAAAACCGACACAGGCTCAGGGAAGTGAAGACGCTCCCGGGGTGTGGCTAGTCCTTATCTTCTGGGCAACATTGAGGCAAACTGAACCAATGGGAGGAGGAATGACCTGTGACAAAGGGGCTTATGCAGGGTTGGTTTTTGCAGAGAAATCCAAGGAATGTGAAGATTGGTCATTGAGGAACCCAGGAGAGCAGAAGCAGGGGAGTGGAACTTAGATTATAAAGATTTTAGGAGTAGATGTTAAAGAAACAGAGGCAGTAAATGCTGGGAGGCGATGGAATGGAATGTTAATTTGAGGGAGTAGCAGGTTTAAGATTTTGGAGTAACAGGTTTGAGTTTTTGCTTTTATTTGACATTTGGGAGGGTGAAACACCAACCCTTTTCTCAGAAGGACCTGAGAAGGTGCAATAGAATGCTTTCATGAGATGGGATAGGGTGAGGGGTGAGTGGGATGTAATGATACAGAGCCAAAACCTCAGATGAAGCCTGATCCTTGGACAGGTGATACAACTTTCTTAGCCCGAGAAGGAGGAAGGAGAACAGGGTGGGCAGAGGTTAAAGAAGAGAAAGGGGAAGAGGGAGACTTGATCACATTTGTGTTGAATGATATGAAGCGTCTGAAGAAGGAAGATGATGAAGTGGTGGCAGTAACCCATGGTTTTAAGATGATGATGAGGCCATGACCTTGGGGAGACGACCACTGTCCACGAGAGCCCACCACGGGCAGTGTCACGCCAGGTGCGGCACGAGGCCTGTGCAAGCAGCTGGTGGCTCTGTGGGACTGTCTGTGTATCACAGGCTCCTGTCCTCTCTGTCCTGGGATTGCTCCCCCGTCTTTCTGATAACCACAAACACCCCCACAAAATTCCAAATGCCGCAAGTGGGGAATCACTTTGCTGAAGGTAGACGGGCTGACCACACAGCAAAACTGAAACACTCTAGGCACCTGGCCTTCTGCACTAGCCCTTAGAACCTAAGATCAAAGTTCAGTGGCTTTAAAAGCTTTGATAAGGAGACAATAAAAGAAATATTCCTAGATATTTCTCCCACTGATTAAAGAAATATTCCTAGATATTTCTCGCACTGATCAAGACTATGTCACACTCAATTCACCTCCAGAGATCTATTTCCAGTACAGCAACTGCTAAGTACATAGAGAATTTTAGGGCCAAATACAGGTTCTCTGAATTAGTTGCAGTTCAGAGACGTTTTATAGGCAATCTGTGTCTAAACCCTGATCCAAAGACTGGTTTTATAAGCCTGGCACATTGCCCAGGCTGTGGGGGTGGGGAAGGACTACAGCAAAAATCCCGCAAAGGCAGCTAAAAGGAGAGCAGATGGCTTTGCTTCCACACCCCAGGTATCTTCAGCACAGCACTGCTAGCCCATGCAACCGTGGCTCAAGTCTGGGAGCTTGAAACTAGAGCTACTGATGTGCCCCGACAAAAAAAGTTCCTGGACATACTGACATAGCAGACCTGTCTATGGGAGACTCGTACTTGCTCAGAGTGAGTAAGGGTCTGAATTAAACATCCCAGGAACAACAGATGAAAACTGACACTCAGTACATTCAGAGAGCTAGAGCTCAGCTTCTGCTTAATCTAGATAATGGTCCTTAAATTCTCAGTATGCCTTTCTAGCTCTTGACCTCAGCCTTTTCTGAGTCTGCCCTGTATGACTAAGTCAATGGGTTTTAGCTTACCAATAGCTTTGCCCCATTTTGACCCCAGTCGTCATGACCCTCAATTAAGCCTTGCCTTAGTGATTCTTCAGCTGGATCCCCAGCCAGCTGCTGTCTTCTCACTAAAAATACTGATGGTCATCTGTGTGATTTTGGTCCTTTCCTGTCTTCCCAAATCTCTTGCATAAACCTTTGAATTGCATAAACCTCTGAATTATTCACAGTTATGTTCTAATTGTGTTGGGTAACAGTTTAGCATGCTTTCTAGCCCCAACAGGTATTGATCTGCTACTTTCAAAATCTTAAAATAGGTCAAGGCATTTCATAAGACCCTCCGAAGATATGAAAGAGTAACAAATGTCTTCATTTGAAGAGGAAAGGGTGCCCAAAATAGAGAACCTCAGCGTTGTTTTTAGTCAGGTATAAAGCACCAATGAACTACAACTAAGCTTGCAGTATGTTTAAGTCAGACCATATTCCAAAATCAGAGTACAAATAGGCTATAGAGAAATAGTAGCATCTCTGAGAGGACAGTAAGCTTTGACCGTTCTGATTGTTGATTTTGGATAGTAAATAAGTTCATCTGATTGTATCAGTCCTCTAGTCCTAGATTAAACGGTCAAGATATATGGATTACTAGCAGAAACCAAATAGACATGAAGTAGTAAAGTGTTTAAAGAATGTGTACAGTTTATCTTTCATTAAAATGTTAATCACATTTAAAGAAAACATATAAGGATCATATCAAGCAATCCATCTGTAATGTACAGTTTAAAAGTTTACATTCTGTACCTTGAATATACTTCTTATATGCTTTAAAAACTCGTTTTAAGAAAATGAGACCACTTACATTTTATTAGTGTGAGCAATCAAAAAAGACTTAATATTTCACTAACAACTTTTCTCTGGCATGTAATTCAGTAAACCAAGGCTTCCGACACTGAGGAAACAGCTGAAAAGTCAATATACTTTCCTCCCATTTCTCCCCAATCCATTCCCACCTCGCAGGTTTAGTGTTCGGGCCCCCACTTTATCCAAGGCCTTCTATTCCTGGGTGCTAATTTAGCCAGTGTGCAAGGTCACCTTAGCAAGACTACCAGTTCATGTCCAAGGATCCAGATCATGGCTTTTACTTTTTTGTTTCTCCCAAAATGTCAGCAAAATATTAAAATACGACTTTACAAAACAAAGGCTATTGATCTCCTAATTGAAATCAATACCCTCTTTTTGTTTTATAAGTGTATAATATAAATATAGCCATTCAGCCATTAAGTAGAGCCATACCTTATGACTGCGGTCCCTGCCGGTTGTTCTTTCTGCAGAATATGCTGGAAGTAATCTTCAACAGCTTGAGCAGTTAGATGTTTTTTTAAGTATGGGTAGTAAAGAGGGTGCCGTGCTATGATACCTATTGTATACAAAGCATACATTAATCAGCACATCTACTGAAGAGTGATCAACATGACCAGCTAACTTAAAGAATCTTGGTCTGATTCCGTGAGGATTCTGTGTGTCAGGTGGAGAAGTACAGTGGACAAACAGCTGCCATCAAAATGAATCTCTTGGTTGTGAATATCACTGTCCCTGCCGGTCATGAGTTTCTCTAATTGAGGGCACTGTCAGATTTAGGTAAATCTACTAAAAATTTCATGGAACATACTTACACTAAAAATCATTCATTGATCATCTAAAACACAAATTTAATGAGATGTTCCATATTTTAATTCTAATGGCCTCAAGGGGTATCATGGTATTTCATTACTTGAATTTTTGAAATGAACCATAGGTCCTATAACTACAACTCACAAAAAAGGGATAGAAAACAACACAAAGTCACATGAAGAATATTAGGGTATTAACCTCAAAACTGCATATTTCAGAAGCCATTATTCCATTCCTACCCACAACTAATATTCTAGAGACAGGTAGGACTAAATATATTTTTAGTAAACAATGACAGATATGAGTGCCTTCAATTTTTTGAGAATGCAAACTCTCTTATCACGAGAATGAGGCTGGCTAATCCATTGCCTTTAGCCACGCCAGTACAAATACCTCAGCTAACACAGCAGGTAGTGTTGAAGCAGGAGGTCCCAAGCTGGCAGTGGCTATAGCCTCCAGAGAGCCTGCTGGTTACAGGCGGCGTCAAAGGGGCCATTGTTTACAGGGTTCTGATTCAGGCACCTTTCACGAGAGCCCGTCCACACACGTACTCCTTGCAGTTTTCAAACTCACTATGTAATAGAGAGTTAGGCATGTTGTACTTTTATACATTATTTTTTACATGCAATGGTACTTATTAGAAGATAGCCTGATGATTCTGCAGAGTAAATAAAGAGACGAGTGGACAGTATTCCATGAAGTTAAAAAGAGAAAGAACCAGTATGGTTCTAAGAAAAGAAGGAAATGATGTAGCAACTTGGGGAGGGTAAAAGAAAGGAATTTTAACAGGTGAAGAAAGATTTTTTAAATGTTTAAATAAAGGAAATATGAATAGCAAAAAAAAAAATCGAGAACATGGTGATATTAGTGATGAACATATTTAGAGAACATTAGGGAAATAGACATTAAAAGGCAAAAGGTCGGTGCAGAAACAACTGAATTCTAATACTATCAAACAGGCGTAGGTTTTCTGGTCCTGAAGAAGTTTAAAATACTTGCTTTTTGCTAAAATGAATTATTATGTTGAGGACCACAGGTCATCTGAAACACACGTCTTTGCATAGGTCAATGAAAACTAGCTTTGTAGCCCTGGGAAAATTAATATAACTTAACCAATACAGTGAACCAAAATTGGTTTCAATCCAATGGAAACTCATGAAATGCTTAAGTCCATGCTGGAGGTGTGAAAACTGGCTTCCATCAGCCAGACCTTACCGATATTTGAGGAGTTGCCTTTGTCCCCGCTTCTCGTGTAGGCCAGCTCTTCCAGGCGGTATGTCAGGGCACCAGCTGGAAGATCTGCCAGTAGAGAAGATGGAGGAGTTATAGGCACCCTTTGAGATGCCTACTGAGATTGCCTTCACCCTTTGAGAAGGGTGTTATAAACTGGAGGAGTTATAAACTGTCATTTGGAACGTGGTCCCCAAGACAGGAACGTGGTCCCTGAGACGGGAACATGGTCGCTGAGACAAGGCTGTGAGACACCAGGGAAGAGAAACTACAAGCAAGTAGGCTGCGCTGCCCAGTCCTGATTGAACAGGGGGCTGCATCATGGAATGGCAGCCCGATCCAGGCACCGCGGCCATCACACTGAGCAGGACGCACTTTAACCGATAAAAAGCATCAGATCCTTATGGTTAGCTCACAATCTCCTGGAGGGAGAAGGCAGAGAGCCCAGAGGTGCAGACTGGGGTGGCAGCCCTGTCCAGAGCAAGCTATTGATAGGATGTTGCTCTCCTCCTCGCCTCCTGGACTTACTCTCTAAACATCTCTTCCTCCTTCCCGGAGAGCCAGGTCATATTCTGCTTTCCCAAACCGGTTCCCTCCTCCCTAAGTCTAGCAAAACCTTACCTGGTTCAGCCACACCTAGCTCTTTCTCAATTCTTTCCCTAGATAGCAAAGGAACCACTGTCTGGTGTTGACACCCCTGTAACAACTGGTCAAGATTAGATGATCCTTTTCTGGAGGTATCTTTTCTCAGTCCTCTAGTTTGGATATGTTTCTCTAGGCTTCTATGACCACGCCATTTATGAGGCATGTTACATAAGATGAAAAGTAATTTTTGAATCAATTACAAATGGAATTATAGAAGCAGAAGTGGGAAGGTTGTCACTGGACTTTTTGGAAGACTCTCGATGCAGTCAGAAGAAATTAGGGAAGGCACTGATATAAATAAGTGTGACTAAAAGGATGAAGATGCTGAGAAAAAAATAACCCAGCTAAATGCAAACCTTCACGTTAAAGGCATTCTCAGAGATATTTCACAACCTTGAAAGTGCAAAGTATAAAATGTTGGAAGTGACCCAAATGCAGACAATAGTCTGACCAGATTGTGTAGCTATGTGGAATTATTTTAGCTTCCTGAAAACAGTCTCTAAAAGGTTGAGAGCACCCCAAATTTCTCCTTCTCTTAATGATTCAAATATTCCATTCTGACTATTTTTCACAACAGTGACCACCCTTGTATAGCCTGCTACCTCCCCCAGGGAGGTTTTTCCTCCCCTGGCTACGACAAAACCCTTTCTCTGAAAACTTATCCTTCCACACCCTTCCACTTCCACTTGTGTAGCCCTAGCCTTCATTGATGCACAGCCTTTAATTCACGTTGACTCTGCCATCAGAAAAGGAGAGACCATGTGGGACTGCAGGGTCTTTTCTTCTCCATGAATATCCACTCTGCCCAGTATGCCACACCCAGCTCTAACCCTGACCTCAGATAAACCACATTGGCGTTTCCTGCCAAAATGTGATTTTTTTTTTAAGATTTATTTATTTATGCATACAGAACTGGGGTACAGGCCAGAGACTCTGGGGTGGCGAAAGACTTCACCAAAGACAGAGTGGGAAGCAGAACAGGCAGATCGACGAAGTACACTGCTGAGGGGAACAGCGGGCAGGCCAGGAGAGGTCTGCCGCGCCATGTGGGTCACCTCCAGGGCAGGCGGGAATCGAACTCATGCGGAAGTGGTTTCAGCTGCTTAGTGCAGTGCTTTAACCCGCTGCACCACCAGGGAGGGCCCAAAATGTGATTTTTTATAGACTAAATCAGTAATGAAAACATTGTAAAAATAATATGTAATGAAGAACGGAGAGAATACTGTTTCGGTAGAAAATAGCAGGTAGAAAAATTAACATACCTTTTAGGTCATCTGCTATCTTGGGTAAGACTGGTGAGGCCAATGTATCCACTGTGAAGGTGAGATCTTCATGAAAGGTTTCAACGTGTTCTCCATTCATATGGATATCAATCTGAAAAATGCATATATTTTTTAAGCCAGGAAGTAGGGAAAAACAGGTTTTATGGATAAGATGATGTCTACTTATTTAGCTTAATTGGAATACCAACAGGTCAGCTCTCTACTGCCCCCTTCAAAGTTCTGTTTTTGAATTGTTCATGGAACTGTGTGGACACACTGCCTTGTTATTCTTAGTGCAAACAGAAGTAAAGGAGCATAACCTTCTTCTAAGGTATCCTGCTTGGGGGGAAGCATTCCTTTCTCAGGAGATCCCTCTGCTTGTTGACAGTGAGGCCAGTGAGAATTGGAGCTGGTAAGCTGAGCTGAAGAGCACTGAGCGGCATGGCCTGACTGGAAGGCTGACACAGCCATCAAAGATTCTTTGTGTTTTTTTTTTTTTTTTTTTTTTTTGTAAATTGATGACTGACAGCTGCCTCATCAGAACAGACTCCCTGGAAAAGCATTTCCAGCTCCCTCACCTTTGCTCCGAGAATCCAGTCAGGTCTGAGGCATACCTCCTCGCAAGTGCCAGGGCCTCACAATGGAGCTTTCTGTGTCGTGGCCATGCCAGCCTCATCATTTTATCTGGGTGTGGCAAATCTGGCTCACACTAAATGAAGTAAGCTCATATCCTGTCATGGTTCTAGAATATCTTTTGAATTGATTTCTATACCTGCATAGGCACAAAGGAGTGGCGAGTCTTGCTTCTCTCCCGTGTCCTAATAGTGCCTTACACAACCAGGGCCGGCAAAATATAGCTGAAATAATTTGCTGTACTAAGCTGTATAAACATCTGCTGTATCTGCTGTTTTCTTGATCCTCTTTAAGACCAAGCAAGTGCTGTGAGAGCTGAAGCAACTCACATGGAGTAGGCAGGCAATGAGGTCTCTGAGATGTCCCAGCTAAACAAAGCATGCTAACTCCCCTCCAATCCTGCCCGGTCTGTTTAAAACTGCTGCTTGGTTATTCTTGCTTAAGGTGACTAAGGCTTAAGGTGACTTTGCCACTGTTATTTTTTTTTTTAAAGATTTATTTATTTACGCATACAGAACTGGGGTATAGGCCAGAGGTGCAGGGGTGGTGAGAGGCTTCACCAGAGACAGAGTGGAGAGCAGAACAGGCAGATCAACGAAGTACACTGCTGAGGGGAGCAGCGGGCGGGTCAGGAGAGGTCTGCTGCGCCATGTGGGTCACCTCCAGGGCAAGCAGGGATGGAACTCCTGTTAAAGTGGCTTTAGCTTCTTAGTGCTGTGCTTTAACCCGCTATGCCACCAGGGAGGGCCTGCCACTGTTATTTTAATATACAGAAGGATCACAGCTCATCCATATTTCTTATAATTGCCAAGTTCTGAAGCAAAGTAAGATCCCTGACAGTCACAGGTTTTATTATGTTACCAGTGCTCCTGCAAAAATAGATGCCGTACTGAAAACTACTACCAGGCACTTACCTATAGGCTCTTGCATAGGTTCCAAATGTTAATATGCTGAAGCAGAGGCACCTGAACATTTTCTCTGGTAAACTACCTGTCAAACATTTCCAGAGGGCGAACCTCACCAGCTATCAATTAGTTTATCATTCATGTCCCTGTTTTTAATGAGTTCACAGTGGCCTATAATGAACAGATTAGTAGTTTTGTCTTTTAATAAGGGGTGAAGAGAAGATTTCTTAAAATCAGATGATGAAGTAAGTTGCAAATCAGTTTTATATGCTTGTCATACATTGGTAGTCCTGGGAACTTTTATCAATTTGTCAAAATTTTTTATTATTCCAATATTGCTATTGAAAAATCAGCTATGGGCCCTCCCTGGTGGCGCAGCGGGTTAAAGCACAGCACTAAGAAGCTAAAGACACTTCAGCATGAGTTAGATCTCTGCCCGCCCCGGAGGTGACCACATGGCGCAGCAGACCTCTCCTGGCCTGCTCACTGCTCCCCTCAGCAGTGTACTTCGTCGATCTGCCTGTTCTGCTTCCCACTCTGTCTTTGGTGAAGTCTTTCGCCACCCCAGAGTCTCTGGCCTGTACCCCAGTTCTGTATGCATAAATAAATAAATCTTTAAAAAAAAAAAAAGAAAAATCAGCTATTAAAAAAATAGAGTTATATAAGCTATATACAAGCTCAAATAACTATATACAAAATCTGCAGATACAACATGGTGACACTGCAGAATGCCAAAGATAAAAAGAAGCCAAAAAAAAAGAAGACAAACTCAGTGAAAGGGTTTTCAGACTGGCAGTTGATTTTTCTGGTAGCAATAACAGAATAATCAAAGAGCTACAACTATCAGCCTATGGATATGGCAAGTACAATAACTCTTAAAACAGAGAGGAGAAGTTAACTTGATTTTCAGGCTAGTTTTAGGCTCATAATAAAACTGCAAAAAGGAGGCAGGGTGTCCATACACCCTTTGCATATTTTGGATAACACCCCTTTCAGATAATCTTTGGCAAATATTTTCTCCCAAACTGTGGTTGTTTCCTCATTCTCTAGACTGTATCTTTCACAGAACAGTTTTATTATTTATTTATTTTTGTTCTTTCTTATTCACTTTCTTAAGATATAGGTAACACTGGTTTAAAACACTATTTGACTCAGAGGTACAGGATCACAGACCTTCAGGTATGTTACCACACCACACAGGATAACCCATAATCCTTCAGTCCAGTCCACTGGCCACTTCATACTTTGCTTTCCAACCTCCCTTTCCCCCTCTGGTAGCCTCCATTCTACAGTAAGATTTCTAGAGCTTCTTACTGGTTTCATTTGGTCTGTCCTTTTGTTTTTCTTATATGATGTTCCATTAGCTTGTCTATTGTTTAGAAAATTCTTTACGGTCTTGATTCCTATAACCTTATAGAAAGCTTTAAAGTTGGATGTCAGTCATCCAAATTTATTGTTCTGCTTCTATATTGTGTTAGTTTTCCTGGGTCTTTGATCTTCCCACATAATCTTCAGATTCAGTTTTTTGATAGTCACAAAATAACCTGCTTAGAGTTTGATTGAAATTGCTTGACTCCATCAGGCCAGTGGGGAAACTTGGCATCTTGACAATAATATGTCTTTCTGTTCATGAACATGGACTCTCTCTCCATATTTAGTTCTGTGATTTCATCAATCCATTTTGTAGTTTTTCTCACACAGGTGTTTTATATAGTTTGCAAGATTTATACCTAGTGATTTCATTTTTTTACATGCTAATGTGAATGGTAATGTGGCTTTTATTTTAAATTGTATTTGTTAATTTCTTGTACAGTTATGTGTCCTTTGATGGGAAATGTTCCAAGAAATGTGTTGTTAGATGATGTCCTCACTGTGCAAATATCATAGAGTATAATTACACAAACCTATATAGCATAGCATACTATAGAGCAAGGCTATATGGAATAGCCTATTGGGATTATTGTTGTATATATGGTCTGTCATGGATCAAAACATAGTCACACATTCCTAAATTGTATACAAAAACATGACTGCCTTCTGTATATTAATATTCACTTGACCTTAGCCAAAGGCCAAGAAGTGATGCGCATATTAATCTTATATCCTGTACATTACAATTTTACATTAGTTGTTTGTTCCAAGATCTTTTCTTGTTGATTCAGATTTGTTAAATAACCTCATCTCATCTGTGACCAAAGACAATTTTATTTCTTTCTTCCCAATATTTATGCCTTTTATTTTCTTTGTTTTATTGCATTAGCTAGAACTTCCTTGCAATGCTGAAGACTGTTGATAGGGGACAATCTTTGCCTTGTTCATGATCTCAGCTTTTAATTTCTCATAAATGCACTTTTTAAAGACAAAAATTGAGATTGCCTAAATTGAGACTGCCTCAGTTTTTGTCAAAGAAATTTTCTTGATAGCTAGCTTTTTCTGAAATGAATTTATTCTCTTTTGGATTATGTATTTTTGCTTTATTTTATCTATTTGCTATCTTGCTGAAACTTGGTGGTAGTGGCTAGATATATATTGATGCAAAAATACTCAATAAATCTTAGCAAACTGAATTTAATAATATAATTAAAGGAACACACACCTACATCAAGTGATATATATCTTCACTTGGTGATACAAGGTATTTTAACATCAACAAATCAACTAGTATTCACTAAATCAACAAAAGGAAAAGATAAAAATCATAAGATCATATGGACAGATATAGAGACAGCACCAAGCACGAGCCAACACCTACTTATGATAAAAACTCTCAATACAATGGAGATAGAGGGAACTTATCTTTACACAATAAAAGCCATATCTTTACACTTATCTTTACACAGACCCACAGCTAACACAATATTCAGTGGTAAGAATCTGAAACCTTTCCTTTTAAGATCAAGTATGAGACAAGATGTCCACTCTCATAACTACTACTAAACATAGTTTTAGAAGTCCTACCAAGAGCAATTAGTTACGAGAAAGAAATAAAAGGAATCCAAAGTAGGGGGAAAGAAGTAAAATTATCACTCTTAGCAGACAACATGATAATGTACATAGAAAAAAAAAACCCTACATATTCCACTGGAAAAATATTAGAAACACTAAATCTATATAGTAAAATGGCCAGATACAAAATCAATATACAAAAGTCCATAGTGTTTCTATAAACCAAGAATGAACTAGAAAAGAAAAAAATTAGGGAAACAATCTCATTTATAATTGCATCAAAAATTACAAGGACCTATGAGCTAACAGAGGAGATTGTGGACCTATACAGTGAAAAATATACGACACTATTATAAGACAACACAAGGAAATGAAAAGCTATTCCATGCCATTAGATTGGAAAATGTTAAAATGGCGTCTTAAACAACATACAAATTCAGTGCACTCCCTACCAAAATTCCAATGGCTTTCTTCAAGGAAACAAAGCAAACATGGCAAAAATTATATGTAGTTTAGCAGGGAACTCAAAAGCCTTGCTCACTGGAAACTGAAAAAGCATTAGTTAAAAAGATTTGTCTTTAATTTCACTGCCTTTTTTTTTTTTTTTTTACTTTTTGTGTATAAACCTGTTTTAGAAACCAAAGTTGCACTAAGAATATTTTACCTTGAAAGTCAGTAACAAATTTCCAAACCTGCCTCTCTGAACCTTTCTGATGAAATAATTTGGCTTTTTAAATTACTTCACTAAAGCTCTATATCTGACAAATCTACTTTTAATTTGAATTAACTATTGATCACGTTTGTGATTAATATAAACTTAAGTATGTTTCATTCCAGTGGATAATCTCTAACTAAAACTTGAATCTCATTTTGAAAGAACCTATTTTGTAAATACCAGCCTTCTGAAATGTATATGAGATGCAGACTTTTAATTGCTGTTCACTACAGTTTAGAATAACAGCATACGTCTCCTGATGTATAAAACATATTTTCCTCCTGTATCTCCTTCTTAACAGTCACACTTTTCAAGAAATGTAGTAGCTTTCTTAGAGGAAGTTGCTCATTTCTTAGCGCTCCATAGGATTTTCCCTTTATTCAAGTCATAAATAAGTGAGTAAATAAATAGGACCTTAGCATAAGCCAAACAAAATAATTCTTATCCTCGGATTAAATTAAAATGCCGTCGAACATTCTTGACCTCTTGGTTTTTTAAGATAGTGTCTGGCAGTTAACAAAAAGAAAACAGAAAACCAAGGAAAATACCTTCCGACAGGCAATCAAGAATTCTAAATAATTGGTTTGCCAGAAAAATTAGAAATACCATAGGAAAAACATCAGAACTATGTATTTTTCAAGATTGCTGCAGTTTCTTTTTGTCATCCACAGTCAGAATGTGCCTAAGTTCTTTGACAGATGCCAATTAATTCCTTTATGAAGTAGAGTACTCAGTTAATAATTAATGTAACCATTTATTTTAAAAGTATACCACACCCTCTTCTAGGAAAGCCTGGGGCAGTTTGCATATTAACTCATAGTTCAAAGGCATGCTATTATATTTAGTACTAAATAAAATAGACAAGAAAACAGAAAGGAGTTGATACTGGCAAGGACCAGTCATGTCCTGCTACAGTTAAATGCCACAACCAGACACTGCCTCTTCTCCACAGCCTGATGTGATGTGGAGGCTTTTTGTTCTTGAGTTTCCCACTTGGCTGGGCCTGTCCCCCAGAATCAGCAGGACCGTGACTGGGTAAGAGCATATCCTCTGGCGCCTACCTGCCTGGACTGGAATCATGGTTATGCACCTTGAATGAGGCAGACATGTCTCTGAGCTTCAGTGTGGTCACTGGTAATGGCAGGGATAACAATAGTACCTGCCTCACAGGTGAGAATTAAATGAGTTTAGCAAATGTAAAGCACTTAGAACTTGATGTACATAGTCACCTTCCTGTCAGCACTTGCTCATTCAATATTCCTCACATATCTGGTCAGTAAAAATTCTTCATTTGAAATAATGTGTGCTTCTCCAATTTATTATCTTCCATCCCTTGTCCTCATCACACTCCTTGGTGTGTCAGAGGTTTGAACATGGTGTCTGATGTTTCCTTTCCCCTTCAGTCTGCCATAAGCCTGCTCTCTTCAAAATTCATGTTTCATCCAAACTCAGTACCTTTGCTTCTAAATGACCTTCATCGCCTCATGGATATGAACCACTCACCCCTTCTTTATTATCATGTAGAGTTACTCTACCTGAACAATCTCACACCACACTCAATGCCACAAGCTCATTGCTCCAGCTATATCTGCTCAGCCACCAAAACTGTGACGGGGACTTATGCCTTCACGCCATGCACTACTGACTGTCCTCTGGTTTAGCCTCCATTTCCATGTTGCATTGGTTAAGCATTTCACCAGTGTCTTCCGTTCTCTCAGCATCATCAACTTTTCATGGCTCTGGCTCCATTTTCCTGCTGCAATACTTATCCAACGATGGATCACTCCAATCTTTGCGTCTAACACTTTCAACCAAGCACTGGAGCTGTAACTAACCATCCCTAGCCTCAGCTGACCCTGCAGCATAGTCTGGCAGCCTCCTCCATGCCTCGTGCTTGCTCTGCATTTCTTTGCAAACCTACTCCAGTCATCTCTCATATCCAGTAACTATGTTCTAGCTACACCACTGCCAAAATAGTTCTTCAATCTAAAGGACCTTCTTGATTTGATTTGATTTCTGCTTCTTATCATCTCTACCCTCCTCCTCTCTGCTGTCAATGGGATCTTTCTTAAGTCCAAGCATCATGGTGTTTCCTACATGCTTATAGCCTGCAGTAACTCCTGATGCTTTTGGATAATGGTATTCCACCACAGAGTGACCACAAGACCCTCTGTGACTAAACCCATTCACCTCTGTAGACTCCTTTTCCAATTTGTCCAACCTGTACCCTACACACTTAACTACTTGTGCTTCCTTGATGGAAGCTCCAACACTGCCTTGCAGAGAGTAACTTTTCTTTCTTTTTTCTACCCAGACAACTCCTACTGGTCTTTTAGAGTTAGATTAATGTGTCACTTCTTGTAGCTCCAGTGCAGAGATTTCCCAGCTCTTCTTCTCCAATTGTTCCTTCTTGACCCTTCTTTCCTAAACAGGCTGGGTGAGTGTCTTTCTTTGTTCTTCTATGTATGTACCTCTAGTCAAGTACTTACCAGCAACTGGCACTCAGCAAATAGTTAGTGAATTAATGACTGAATCAGGACATCCCATGGCTATGAAGTAACAACAAAAGCCACAATCACATTTCATCTTATATGTCCATTTAGATATATTGTTTATATATCCATATGATTGTGTCCACTTGGCTATATTTTAAAATGACAGGGAGTTAGTTTTGACCATGTCAGTATTTTAGAGGGACTGACACTCCTGTGAGCTGGTTGGTACCCAAAGCTCTCACGTAATGGGCTGAATGAAACTAATGACTTGATTGGTGTAACCACTTCTGAGCAACCCTGGAGCCCTGCAGTAGATTGGCACCTACGACTGTCTTCTGGCTTCTCTCCAGGCATCAAAACAGCATCATCACCCCCATATTCAGTCAATACTTTGAAGTCAGGTAAAAGACTGTTTCTGTTTTGTGTTTCTTGGTAAAGAAGACAACAAAATCCTTTCCTCAAACCCTCTCCAAGCCCACATCATCATATTATATTTCTCTACCACCTCACTGAATAAAGGAGATCCCATTCCACTGGTCACTGAAGAGCAGCACTGGAGTATTTTTATGTTTGTACAAATCAGGATTCAATGGAAGCACCTATGGGAATAAGACACTAAACCCAAATTGGATCTTTTTAATTAAGGGCAAGAAGTTCTAATTAATGGCTGTTGGACGAGCAGCCAGCATTCTTTGCTAAAGGAATGCCATCTTTGAACAAATGTCAGATTTAGAGTCAGACACACAGTAGTTTGATTTCCTTCTCTACCAGTTTCTTATTGTGTGTCCCTGGGAAACTCCTTTGCTATAAAGTGGGGATCCCAAAACAGTCATGAAGACCAAATAACATAACATAATTGCTAACAGTCCTCTGAGACAGTATCTAACAGAAGCTTGTCCCTCTGACAAAAAAAAAAAAAAATCCAAAAGCAGCCATAGGCAATATGCCCAGGTGAGTAGTTAACAACTTGATAGAGTGACGTCAGATGCAATTCATGAGGAGAATTTGCCAACACTTAATAGACACAATCAAGTGATTGGGGTGACCCATTCCCCACCCACACCAATCCACAGCTTTTCTCTTTTTAATCAAACAAACAATATAATTAAGCTTGTCAAAACCAAACCTTTCCAAAAAACACCAAAGCCACATAAGCTTGAATGTAAGACTAACATACCATTGTAGCCGATTATGGAGATTCTCTTACCTTTACGTTCTTTTTTGGATATAAGATGAAAAATGGTTTTAGAACAGGAGAGCTAGATTAAAATGCAAAAGAAGAACAGTAAGTGCTCATTTGATAGACCTTGGGCCTATCAAGGAAAGAGGGCGGAAGGGCTTCCATGCATTCTACTCACTTGTTCCACCTGACCACCTTGATCTGTTAGTGAGCACACACACTGACCTATTTGTTTGCATTTCCTCTGATCTGATGAAGATTTCTCCATCAGAAATTATTTGATATACATGAAAAGCAATTCATTAAAAATTGAAACTGTTTTTCTTATACTATTTGTGGATTTCACCAGCTTTTTCCTTCCTCTGGGCTTTTCCCTTAAGACCTCATGAAGCACCTAAAAGAAGTCTGGGTGAACTTTCTAGACATGAACAGAGAGAAATGGAATTAGGTGTTCTTTAATATCTAAATTTAAATACCAAATATGAGGGTCAGAAGGAAATCGACTTATTTAATAGACACAAACACTATATAAGAAAATTGCATGAACGTTATCATCAGAAACACTGAGACCAGCATTGACTATTTGTGCATTGAATTAGCTAAGGGTTGAAACTAGAAAGAAATGATGATATTATGAAATTTTATAATGTGTAAGAATAAGTTTATGGAGGCCCTCTCTGATGGTGCAGCAGGTTAAAGCACTGCACTAAGAAGCTAAAGCCACTTCTGCATGAGTTTGATTCCCGCCTGCCCCGGAGGTGACCACCCTGCGTGGCAGACCTCTCCTGACCCGCCTGCTGCTCCCCTTAGCAGTGTACTTTGTTGATCTGCCTGTTCTGCTCCCCACTCTGCCTCTGGTCAAGCCTCTGACCGCCCCTGAACCTCTGGGGTACAGACCCCAGTTCTGTATGCACAAATAAATTTTAAAAAAAAGAATAAGTTTATGGAACTAAATATCTTGTGATCCTTGCACAAACAAGCACAACTTGAAATTTATCACAAAACAATATCCACCTCATCACGACCAAGATCAGGAAGTAGACTGCTGCCCACACCCAAGAAGTATCCTCCACCTTCTCCCAATCACTACTGCCCCCAGCAAAGATCACTGCTCTCCTGACTTTTCTTCCACGTAAGCATGCATCTCCAAACAAAACAACCCATGTGTATCTGTATAAACGGAATTATGTACATGTTCTTTGGTTTCTATGTTTCATCAACAGTAAGTTTGTGAGATTCACCCGTGTTGCCTAAGTCAGCTACCACTGCTCAGCTATACCCAGTAGATAACAGCAGGATTTTCTGTTTTATGTGGCAAAGCTGTTTATAATTATCTAAGAGGGCAAATCCTGTTTTTAGAAATAAATATCAAGTACATAAGATTTAAACATATGTACATTCTCCAGGGATGCAATTACTAGAAAAGGAAGACTGTGTTTTGTCTCATTCAGAACCTTGCCCAGAGTTGCTCACGTGACCAAAAGCAACACCAGTTGGGAGTTTTAGTTTCGCAGATCATGCACCTCTACGAGTCTGATTTGTAGCTGACTCCATTTTGTCTTCCACTCTACTGTAATCTCTTTAGAGCCACTCACATAGTGAGAGTACCTACTATTTTACTAATACATTTTTTTATCTATTTCTATTTGATGTCACAATAAGTACAATTAGATTTGAGTGGACTGAAGTGGTTTATGAATTTCAAGATAGTAAATATATTTGTCATAAGAAGACTGTATGGTGATGACAGTGTTGAGCATCACTGCCCTGGATAAATTCTCTTATGTACCCAAGGGACAACGAAGCACAGTGCAGACATGTGTGTTGGGGAGGGCAGACAGAAGGCATTTCAGAGCACGGATAGCTCTACTGGACAGCACTGGTCTACAACATTAGGGCAAAAATGAATATTTTCATATTCATAATATCAAAAACCTGAAAACAACCCAACTGTCCATTAACAGGGGAATGAATAAGTCAATGGAATACTACCTAGTAGTGGAAATGAATGGTAACATGTAGCAACACAGCCAAATCTTACAAAGAACACTGAGACAAAGATCTGAAATGTGACACATATATAAGATAAAACTGTGTGTGATTTATTAAAGGAATCACATGTAGAAAAAGTAATTTCTAAAACCCTGGGGAAGTCCAGGATAGCAATTAGCCTCTGGCAGGGAGGGAGAAGATAAAACTGAGAAGGAGTCAACTGGGGGCTTATCTACAAAAGAAATATTATAGTTCTTCAGGTATAAGATGGGCATCGCAGAATTTATTATTTTTATAAGGTTTTTAATATAAAGTACCTTTCACTTTAGGCTTACTTTGTCAATATTAATTATTGCACAGTGAAATTTTAAATTACACCTGCTTCTGGGTCATGGGTCCATGCTTCCCTCACACTTTTATCCCAGGTACTGAGCAATGTTTGGCAAAGTGTAGATACTCGAGATTTGTTTTACAATCACCCAAATATACAAAACAAAAGTTCATGTGACATCACTGTCTTGACTTAACTGGCAGAAATAGAATGCTTCCATCACATCACATTAGACGTGACATAGACATTTTTAAATCGTGCATTCATTTCACAAATCTCTATTCAGGGCTTACACTCCTTCAGTGTTAAGGGTACAGCAGAAACATATACCAAATACCAAAGTACTTATATTTAAGAGAATGGGGGGGGGAAACATAGGGGTGAGGGAGGTCAACCCAGGAAGAGTAATATGGTAAAGAATCCAATCAGACAGGGATAAGCACCTCCCAAAAATAAAGCAGGAAAGGGCAACAGCAATTTTAGAAGATAAAATAGGAAGGTGAGGTGGTTCTTTTTGAAAAAGTGACGTTTGCACCAAGACCTAAAGGGAGAGCCGCCCTGAGCATTGAGTGAGGGAGGAGAATGTGTGAAGTCCCCGAGGAACCCACAAAGGAGTCCAGTGCAGGGGAGCAGAGCTGAGAGAGCAGCAGGAGAGGAGATCAAAGTGGGCAGACGCCACACGAGGCCATTTTAATGATGGGTTTATTCGTTAGATGAAGTTAAGGATTTGGAACAAAGACATGACATCACCTGACTAAAAGGCTCACTCAGTTGTATGGCCAAGGAGTGAATGGGAATGTTAATGATAAACTAAGTGTAAGTCTGTACAGATGTTGACTTATAATGATTCACATTGAAAATGTATACAGTGTGACTTCAGTAAGAGTTATTTTTAAAAGTAGAAAATAAAGGCTCCTTCTCTTTTGAGAAGAGATGATACTGGGAAGTAGAAATGAGAGAGGTCAGATCACAGATGATGGTGGCAGGACATGGGAGGTGACAGTGGAGGTCGTCAGAAGTGGTCAGATTTTTGACATGTTTCTGAAGACGAAGCTACAGGGTTATTGCAGACTAACAGATTAGGAGGCATGAGAAAAGGGGAGCTGTTGCCAGTTACAGACCACAGAAGCTGGTTGGGTGGAGAGTGTGGTGGGGTTCAGTTTGGAGCATACTAAGCCTGAGATGTTTTACTAGGAATCCAAATAGAGTTGGTAAGTAGACAGTTTATCTAAGTCTTAGGGTCAAAGGAGAAGAGGAGCGAAAGACATAAATGTGCGAGCCATTAAGATAGAGGCGGTATTTAAAGGTGAAAGACAGGATGAGATCATCAGGGTGTAAAGAGGACCGGTCCAAGGGCCACTGTGTTTACAAGTCAGGGAAGAAGCGGACATCAGCCGACAAGGAGGAGTGTAGACGATGAGGCAGGAGACGATCCTAAGTCGTGTCTTGAGAGCCAAGTTCAGAACACATTTAAAGAAGAGGATCAAGGTGGGGGTGGGGGGTGGGCAGGCGCCTGTGGTGTAGCAGGTTCAGGAGAAAGGGGGGGGCAAAAAAGAACAGACACAACAGGCAACTATATTGAGGTTCTTTTTCATTTTTATGTCTTTCCACAGACACAAATACATCCTGGAATCCAGGAATCTGAACCCATCATCTCTTATCTCATCTCAAAAAAAATAGAATACAAGCAGCCAGAAAATTCCCCTGATGTACAAGACTTTGATGACTTTCTGCAAATACAACTATAGAAAGAACGAGGCAGAAATGCTGATAGTGGGTACAGCCTAACCCAGGTAGCCACTGTCCTCTGGTTTCATGATGAAACCCAGCAAGTCCCCTTCTTTGGTGAATACATTGAATGTCTCCCTGTAGATTGGTGACTGGACAGACAGATTAGTGCAGTCTGATGGTGCCATTCCTTGGAAAAGCCAGTTATCTCCTGAGAACTTTAACCCCAGGGACCAATGCACCATCCTGTTCTGCCAAGGTCAGCATGGCTGATTCTTACATAAGGCAACTCCCCCTCCAAGAACCACCCGCAGGCTCTCTGACCAAGACACGGCAGGAAGACGCATGTCTGGGCCCCAGAACTGCCCTGCTCACACCCTCATCCAGAAAGCTCCGCTGAAGGGGACGAAAGAGAAAAGACACAAGCACAAGGTAGGGAAACTTACACTTTTGGACGACCTCCAACTGCTGCTGTCAGACCAGGGGCTAAAGAAAAAGAAAAAAATTAAAACAATGTCCAGCTCTTAAGAGTGTTAAATGACAATACCATAACCCCAGTGCAGCCCATTACAACAGGGATTAATTTGTTGATATAGGATGTTAATACGCTAGCAAACCCAGGTTAAAACATTGTGCAGAGGTCAGGAGGAGTCAGTAAATGCAGAAATAACATGGCAATTAGAATACTTTATGGAACAGAGTCCAGTCATTAGTGAACACAGAAAGCTGAAAGACACAAGAAAGCAAACAACTGTCATCACAAATCAAACTATTTATTTGTCACATTCTTCTAATTTAAATATTCAATTTGACGAATTCACTAGTTTAACCATGAAAGAAGCCTTAAAATTAACTTCAGAGATTCCTCATTTGTTGTGGTTATTTTTTGGTGGGGGATCTCTTCCCTTTGCTCCAAAAACGTAAATGCAACAAAAACTTGTCTTCTCCTTAAAGGGAGCCTTTGCATTTGAAGGGGAGAGTAAAATCTGAACAAACTTTTCTTTCTCTCTGCCCATATGCTCCCTCTAGTGGATTTATAACTTAATCAAAAACAAGAAAGAGAAAGACCTGTGTGATCTAATAACTCAAATTATCGACACCATATAAAAATGCCTTTAAATATGGCAAAGAGGGTAATAGAAGAAAACATTTAGGGTTTGGCACATTAGAACATCCTACCTGTATATATTAAAGTGCATTCCAAGCATTACCTGGATACCTCATATTTGATACATTTGTAAAAGAAATTATACTATGGAGAATAAACACAAAGTCAAATTGCTCTGAAAAAGTTAAACTTATTTGTACATTATTCAAATACGCTGCATTCAATATTTATGTGAATTTCACTTTATACTAAATGTTCGTTAACTCATAATACTATACATTCCAGGACCTTAGAAGTCAGCTAGCCTAGTTTCCCCTGTTTACAGATGAGAGAACTGAAGCCCGAAGAAGTGTGTGCTAAAGGGCACAAGTACACCTGGTAGCATCAGCACTCAGACTCAGATCTCATTTTTTTTTTTTGCTTTTCATTGATATATAATGGACAAGCAATACAATATTAGTTTCAGGTGAACAATGTAATGAATAACTTATGTATATATTCCAAAATGAGCAACACAAATTAGTCTAGTTAATATCCTTTACCAGAGCCACAAATTTTTTCTTTAGGATGAGAACTTTTAAGATCTATTCTCTTAACAGCTTTCAAATATGCCATACAGTATGATTAACTCTAGTCACTATGCTGTAAAAAAATTCCAGTATTTTATAGTTGGAAGTTTGCACCTTTTGACCTCTTTCACCCAATTTGCCCAGCCTCACCCTGGCCCCACTCCCATCCTCCATAGCCTTCATCTCCTCCCCCAGCTTCCAGAACACCAATGTGTTCTCTGATTGCATGAGTTCCACTGTTGTTTTTTTAAATTCCACACATTAGTGGGATCATATGGTATCTGTCATTCTCTTTTGACTTACTTCGTTTAGCACAATGTCCTAAAGATCCACCTGTTTCTTTTTATTTAGCTGAATAATGTTGTGTGTGTGTACAGAGAGCTATATAGAGATCACATTTGCTTTATCCATTCATCTATCTGTGGGCACTAGTTTGTTTCAATATTTTGTCTGTTGTGAATAATGCTTCAAGGAACACAGAGGTGGACTCAGCTGTCCAGTAGTTTATGTTTTCATTTCCTTTGGAAAACAATTTCAGAAGGGGATCATATGGTGGTTCTATTTTCACTTTTCTGAGTAATCCTCATACTATTTTCCACAGTGGTTGCACCAATTTGCATTCCTAACAACAATGCACAAGTTTCCTTTACTCCAAATCTTCGCCAGCACCGGTTTCGCATATTTTTGTTAACAGCCATTCTAACACATTGACCAAACTCAGATTTCTTGAATCTCAAGATGTTTCTTTCACACTCCCCACCTGATAAAGTAAAACGTGGTGCAAAGAGACAGTACCTAAAATCCAGATTAATAAAAATATAATTTTATCCATTTAATAAGCAAAACCAATAAGAAGACCTAATTTGGACTGCAGAAATTTCCTTGTTCAGTTACTGATGAAAGAAGGGCAGAGAAAGGAAATCTGTATATCAGGCAACAGGAAGGAGATCCACAAAGGTGTGTGTACCTTCTCATACCAGAGGTGAAGTGTGAGACTTAACTGCTTCCACAGACAGAAGTAGGATAAGAATGGAGTAGGAAGCTGACTTCACACTTGATTTTGTTGTATTGCTTTAATTCTGGATTTCGTGCACCCATTGTCTTTTTTTTTTAATTGAAAAGTAAACCTTTCTATAAGCATATTCATCTCAACGTATGCCAACTAAGCCAGCTCCCTGTTCTTTCAGTCAACTGCCTTCTGGAGATGGGCACAGCCTTTCTCTGACCCTCAAATCTGCCCTCGCACCCTGATTATGTGGCTCTTATCAGACTCCACATGTCTGAATTAATTCTCCACTAATTGATTCTAATGTCTTTTATAAATGCTGTGAGCCTCATGGGAAAACTTCTGCCTGAACTCTGTACTGCTGATAATCTTAACCTATTCTGTCTAATAACAAACTGCATCATTCTGACTTTTGTTTATCAATCTTGTTTCCTATTCTTCCAATTCTGTCAACCCAAGCATTTCTTGCCCAGGAAAAACTGCAGAGAAGGCTCCAAGTAGATTATATAATATTCACAATAAACAGTCGCTTGAATGAGAATTTTAAAAATAAAGTCAACACAGTTTTAAAGCAAAGAGGCTTGATCTATCATTTAGACCAAGTTAGACAAGAATATAGGAGTGATCTTTCCATGAGGTACCCCTGGCCTACAAGAGTGCTCCTTGCATTCCCATATTCTGTTGTAGTAACAGAAATGCAAAAATAAATTTTGGTGATACATTTTCTATATACTCTCACTACTACTGACTTCTGGTTAAAATTAACTTGGAGTAGCATCTATTTTATTATCAAACTACAGGAATCTAGACCCTCAGCTTGTGCTCGGAGTGATAATTTACATTCACAGTAACCTTCAGTCTTGAGCCTCAATTGTTGAGTTCAATTCCATGTTTTTAATTATTACATTTCCTCTACATTGAGAAGATAAAAAATTTGGGGGGTGAGGTTTTCCTTGAACCAAAAGGGGAGAATATAACAAACTGTTAAACCAAGGACCTTTCTTAAAGTGTTTTCCAACACACGCTGTGATCAGTCATAATATTTATATTTACTCAAGCACTTTGAAATCTCAAGCTGTTTTAACCAGCTGTCATTTTGGTGTCAAACTCCGGTCATTTTAATGTGAAACAAAGGTCAACCAAGGGTTTCTCTTATCCTTCCTATTAGGGAAATGTGTGTATTTGTTGAACTCTGCTTAAACTTCCGACAGTAAGTCCCTATTGCATACTTCTATTTTCTCGGTCACAGAGGGTCTTAGGTTTGTTCATAAATAAAATGCATAGAAATAAAAAAGGTAAAGTTGACAAAGTGTTATCTATAATCAAAAATACATAACACAGTATGGTCTATACAAGCTTAGCATTGATTATCAAAAATCATTTGTATCAAATACTGATATCCACAAGGCACATAATCCCAATTTGATTTTTTCTATATCTAAAATAAAATGGCATAGTCATCTTTTCATTACTCACACTAGAAACTACACTGTGAAGCTCAATCCAAAGTCTGCTAGATTGTGACCTTTTTCTAGAGTTTATTCTCTCAGTTTATTGCTAAATCCCAAATAACACTGGATGGGGCAGTCTCTCATCTAAATATCGACTCTCACCTTAAGTCTTTGCTAGCCTGCAACAAGATAATGGATTGTACAGAATTACTTTACTACAAGAGGTAGCTACCACACAACAGAGTAAGGACTTAGCATCAGGCATTCCAATCATGGCACGTTAGGAAGAGTATCTCAAGCTAGGCCTCGGCCTAGTGATACACTGCGCGACACATTCTCCTGCTGAGTCTTACTGCTATCATTGGCTCTGAGCCCTGTGGATGAAGGATGATTGCTCTTTTCCTGAGTGACCATTTTCTTTGTGTATAAAATAGTCATTCTTCTCACCCTCCTCTCCGTCACCTTTCCCACACTTTACTATTCCCCTCACATCTGTAAACATCTCTGTCCTAATTTTTGTCCCTCCTCAGGCAGATCTACCTAAGTCTCCTTTGAAGGATCCTCTTTTGCAAATCCTTTGCATGAGTCTATGAAATCAGCGGCTACATCTGTGCAGCTTTTCAGCCTCCGTGCCAGAATGTCCCACAGGCTCCCCTAAACATGCTTCTTCTCCCATGTTCTTTTTTTCCATAAGTGGTATCCCCATCTATCAGTTACCCAAACTATGTTCCAGAATGACCTCTGATGCTTCTCTCTCCCTTGTTTTCCAAACCCAGTCATTAAGTCCCGTAATTCAGTCTCCGACAGATCTGTGACCTGACCACGGCTCTCAGTCTTGCTGATTTTATCCTAGGTCGGCCTCAAGTGACCCCATCTCTGTGCCACTGTTAAAGGAAACCTTTTACTTTCTCAAAAAGCTCTCTCCTTTGGGCTTTCCTACATTGCTATTTCCTGTAATTAGAATTCTTTACACTAGGCTAAGTATCACTACTTATCATCTTCCCATTCTGTTTCATTTATCACCACTCTGGCCTACTGAGGTGCCCTTACATGTTTCTATAACACCCTAGATCCCACCACTGTTTTTGTGCTCTTCTACTCCATGATGATACATTTCTTCATAATGTGTCCCATCAGATAGATTTCTTAAGTTATAATAACATCAGATAGATTTCTTAAGTTATAATAACCAGGATTTAAATTTTATTTGCACCAAGACCATTCTTTTCGAGGCACTGAGATTCATCAAACACTGTGGGTTGAATCTCCAGGATATGTAAGGTTTCTGTTTGTTTTAAGAGGCACTTACCCCACAATGAAAAGGGACTTAAACATTAAGATAATGGCTTTGAAAACTATTTTGGTAATCGTTAAAAATGGTTATAGTCCACATATGGAATAGATACTTCCTACTTTTAAGAGCAAAGAATGATCCTTTATCACCCCTGAGATGTATTAGTTGGTTATTTCCTATTGCAATAAAAATTTCCAGATTAAATAGAACATATAAAAGCTATAAACTATAAGTGTGTGGGTTGTCCATGAGGAAAAGAATACAAAATTAAGAGGTTTGACATAACATGTAAATATAAAAATCTAATTTAATCATCAGAGAAGCACATAAGATAATAATGATTTAAAACTAAGACCCTTATGCAACATTCTTACAAGTAGTTTAGAAATAAGAATGAATTACTGAAAGATCCAGATTATTGCCAAGATTTACTGTAATTAGTTTTCTCTACTTAATATGCATGTGCTTCAGATTATGAAACACATTCAGCTGTGTGATGAACCAAAGGCCAACATACTGACCAGCCAACAAGGCAGCATTTCAGCAGTGTCAGTGCAACATAAATGAATAAACAAAATGTCAGTTGTAGTCCAGGGAGCTGAGCTCCCTATCCCTTGATTCCGAAGAGAAAATCACCTTATTTCTCTTATACAAGCTATGTTCATAAAGTGCAAGTCCAAATGGCCACATTGTCATATTTTGCTAAATATATTTCCATACAATAATGTAACTTTCCAAAGGAAAAAGACTGCATAACAATATCATCAGTATATGTGTGAAAAGGTCAAAACCAAAAGTTCAAGGAAAAAACCATCCAGTTTATACTTTACCAATGAGCTTGCAAATAAAATTGGACTTGACTTGCAAATATGGTTTAGGGTAAAATGCCTGAAAAAAACTCTTCAGCTGATGCATCCCTTCAACTACCATGTCCATCTGCTTTAGTATTTCCGGTCTTCGCCCAGCACTATTGAATTACTTGACAATAGCACAGACTTCATACTCCTCTGCCATCCAAGCGACAATTAAAGTTTCAGCTCCCTGAATGCTCAGGAGCATGGGATACGTATCACAAAAGACTGCAAACAAATAAGCTCCACACCCACACCACAACACACCTGATCTTAGACTCCGTACTGTTACGGCAGGGGTGCCTGGCTTCTCCAGACCATTGTCTGGTGGCCATTTCAATAACCGATAACTCCCTCCTCTGCTTAAAAGACTCCACTCCTCTGCCCACAGGAATAGCTGTACTGGTTCCAAGTGTGCCTAACCAAGGACTTCTGGACCTTAGAAACTGACTCTGGGAAAGAGGAGTTGTTCTCTGTGCCCTCAGAGTGCTGGGGTGTGCCTTGGGCTCTCAGCTGCATTGAGCAGCTGGTCTTACAGGCAACACACAGGGAAGGTGGTGAAGAGACAGTGAGGAGCCAGACGGTCTGGAGTCCCTTAAAGCCGGCTGCATCCGTGTTCTCACAACAATCGGGTTATAAGAGTGAACGAATTCCGCTGGCTCACTTTCATTAGTTCATGTAAGGACTCCATCCCCAGAAGCCAGAATCCTAACTAGAAGAAACAGATTTGTGTTTCTGTAAGGACTCTTGGTATTCATGGAGCCCAATCTCCTCATGTGAGGTATTAGGAAAGAGGGATTAGAGAGGGTAAGTTCCTTGTATAAAATCTCACAAAGGAATGGAAAGGAAGCAGGGAACGGACAGATTCTACAGTTTGGCTCACCCTCCCCAGTCTTCTTGTAGCTAAGGTGCGTGCTTGTGGCTAAAGCTGCTGGCGACTTCAGACATCCCCTGAGGACTTGGGGGAGACAAAGGCGATGGGAGGAGGCTGTGACACGTGGAGTCCGCATAATCTGGGAACATGGTGGCCAAGCAGCAGGGCCTTCTGAGGCAGTATCCTACCTGCCTACAGTCGTGTTTGTTTTGACAGAGTGAGTAGTCTCTAAAACTGGTTCTCTTGCTCTCCCAAGGTTCTGGGAGGTACCTGCTTAGCAGCAGGAAATGGGATGCTTCCGTCCAATAGATGGAACTGATGATACCTGAAAGGAGGAGAACCATGAGCAGCAAAGGCCCAGCTGCCCACGCAGAAAGCTGGTAATTCTTACTATTTGGTGACAGAAAATGTTGTTTAACTGCCCCAGGTGGCAACTCAGAAAGTAAACTATGTTGTGCATGTTCCATCACAAGTAAGAGCAAGAAAAATTTGGCCCAGAATAAAGAGCACCCAAAAGTCTAAACTTTTGTTCGGAGTCATCTAGAAAGTATGTGCAACTGCAACAGAAACTATAAAAACGGTGACTTAAACAAATTGGTTAATTTTAATTCTTCTGACATCTAAAGATTAACGGGAAGCAAAGGAAGAATATGTAGTATACAGACAATTCCCAGCCAAAATGGCAACCCCCGTCATCAACGATAAGGAAAATGATGAGCAATTTGAAGAAGACACAGAAGTGAGTCACCACTGAAATATTTCACGGAGGTCACTGTTTTGCTCCTTCTGGAACATGCTTGCTCTCTCTGGTTCTCTCTCCCCCCTCTCATTTCTTTCTTTCCTTCATAACTGTAATTCTATAGACATCTCAGCACTTTTTAGATTATTCTAAGAAACAGTAAGAAACTGGTTTTAAAAGTTTTGTAACATCTTCAATGTTAAAGTCAAGTAGCAGACTCAGCATTAACTAGAAGTGAAGAAGCATTTTGGCTTTTGGGAGGTTGGAGGTTAACCCAATTTGTAGGAACTTTGTCAAGACAAATAATACAAAATAAAAATACAAAATCAGGTGTGATTTGTTATTTCCACTGATGTTGAGCACTTTTTCATATATGTAATAGTCATTTCTTGGTCTTTTTCAGAAATGTCTATTGAAGACACTGGCTCATTTTGCAATAGGCTTCCATGAGTTCCTTATGTATTTTACAGAATTTTACCCTCTTCGAAGATACAGTCTGCAAATACTAACCATACGTTGCCTTTTCATTTTGCTGATGAATTCCTCCTGCTGTGCAGTTGCTTGTTAACTTGATGAGGTCCTGATTGTTAATTTTACATTGTTTTAATTTTAAAATGCAAATCTTGCATAACCAAAGCTTAATTTTCCATTCCATTCTTAATCAGTCAGTAGAGGAAGAAGAAGGAAGTAGAAACTGACTTGAACTTTTTTTTTTTTTTTAAAGATTTATTTATTTGTGGATACAGAACTGGGGTACAGGCCAGAGGCTCAGGGGCAGCGAGAGGCTTCACCAGAGACAGAGTGGGGAGCAGAACAGGCAGATCTACGAAGTACACTGCTGAGGGGAGCAGTGGGCGGGTCAGGAGAGGTCTGCCACGCCATGTGGTCACCTCCGGGGCAGGCGGGAATCGAACTCATGCGGAACTGGCTTAAGCTTCTTAGTGCTGTGCTTTAACCCGCTGCGCCACCAGGGAGGGCCGACTTGAACTTTTTTATATGACACTAATATTATCAGAAAATTTTAATTTGGGGGGGGAAGGGTGGCTGCCTACTCTTACTTTGACCACTTTAACCCCTTTAAGCCTGAGTTTCTCCAGCCATAGTGGAAATTCAAGGTCTTTCAAAAGTATGCCCCAATGAATGACTGGATTAGCAAGACTAAAGCCCTGTGATGCTTGATCCAAGTTCATTTCCTTATTAGGGAAAAGTAGCTGAGCCATTTCGGGAAGGCTCTTTGGGGAAGACACCAGACCTGGCTGAGCAAACCCAAAATGAATTTTACCAGGTTGCTTTGTCTGGAACTATTAACTAGATTTGCCATTTGGCAAACTCATCCTGGACAAAAACATACCTCATGTCAGTATGTTTTTAAATTTCTGATAAGCTTGAAATAAATATTACAAGGAAAAGCATATTCACAAATATTTAGCTGTATTAAAATACCCAAACACATAAAAGCATTTAATACAACAATGCACACAGACCAGATGGCTTAGCATGAAATGCCCCGTTTGGAAGGGTCTACTAATAAGTATTACCACTAATGAATTCTTAGAGCTGTAGCTGTAAAAATACATATATTTACCCATTCCAGTTGCTGCTGGTGCAACTTCTTTTGAAAAAAGTTCCACTGCTTTCCTCTGTCTATGATGTACTGAAAGCCAAAGGACCACCTCTCGAGGACCCTATTTGCAAAGAGTAGGAATTAACAAACACACACCTCAAAATAAGGTACAAATCTGCATCTGCTCCAGGTGAAAGATTACTTCTTGAACTATATAAATATATCTGATGTGCATGATTTCTAGAAGGAATTCATTACTATACCTATACCTATTCCTAATTCTGCCACATCTGCTCATTAAAATAAGCACCTATTAAAAAATAAACACTCTTAGTCTCCCATAAAGTAAAAATAATCTTACCTTAATATATACAATTTGACACCTGGTAATGATATCTTGGAAAATAGCTAAAATTGTATTTGTGAAATTCCTTTGTCTTTTTTTCCATTTTTCCTCTCTTGAAATAAATATCACTAGAGAAGAATTATTACTTAATTGATATCCATTGCTTTCTTCATATGACAGGTGAGTTTAAACTAAAAGTGTGTATGTAATTGCTATTGCTCCACTTTTCCTAAGGAATTATCTATAATGCAAATAATCTATAGTTCTCTCCTAAGGAATATTTATAATGCAAATAATCCATAATTACTGTATAGTTTATTAAAAATGAATCAATAATCAATTATCCTGGTTTAAAACAGAATTACATAAGAGTACAGATAAAAGATCATATCTGAAAAATTTAAGAATTCAACAATTATCTTTTTTAAAAGATATTGTCACTTGGAAAAACAGTAGAACAAAGTAGAAGTGTAAAGTCTAGTTCTGCCTCTTCTTCTGACACCCTGGCTGTTCTTAAGTTAGTTCATTTCTCTATAATTTAATTTTCCTTTTTAGTAAAACGGAGATCCTATTAGCTTCCCAACTACTTCATAGAGCTGTGATGATGAAACAATGTGGCATCAGATGTAAACCACTTCTTCAGGTACATATGTGAGATATAATGATTTTAATAAGACCAATAATTAAACTTCTGCTTTTCCTCTATGCTTACTGTCAATCTCTCTGTCTAAAACCAACTTAATGAACCTACTTGACAACTTAATTATGTACTAAATGGAGGTGCATGGGCACATCAATGAAAATAGACTTAAGGTACTATTTTCCAGCACCTTTTTAATAAAAAAGCACTCTTCAAACAGATTAGATGTTGGTTTACACAATAATCTTTCAAGTTAACTTTGATAGTCACTAGTTCTAATTCAGTAAATTAAATATGGCCACATATTTGGCACTTCATAGAGCACATATTTTACATTTAGTGAAATTTCTACACTTGACTCTAGATTTTATCAAGCTTCTAGAATTTCTAATGTAATTCTAAATAGACCCTAACTTTACATCCTGACTGGTCTACAATCTAGTCTACAAAATAAAACATAAGAGCATGACATTTTGGGGATTTTATAAAATGAAATGAACTATACAAAAATTATGGAAAAAAACCTGCAAAAATTATGAAGCCAGGAATTGTTTTTCCAAACTGTTCTCAAAATAAAATATTAAGCTTGTTATTTTATAAAGAGAAAATTCCCAAATAGAAAAGAGTCTCAATAAAGATTAGGAAACATATACTTGAGTTACTTTTATTTTAAAATAACCAAGAACATAAGTGACAGTCTATATTTTCTCTTCTACAATTTAATAAATTATCTTTTTATGTTATTCAAGGCTGCCTCACTGTGACAAGAGTTTTAGATCTTTTTGCTGAACTTCACACCAAAATGAAACAATCCTAGTATTGAAAAGTGCAGCTTTGGGAACTGGATACAATTTCTGGTCCCGCCAGCAAGAGCTGTTTGATGACAAGACAAATTACTTGACCTCCCTGTGCCTCATTCCCTCATTTATGAAACAGGAAAACTCCAGAAACCCACAAATTGGTTCTGGTGAGGGCTAAATGACAACAGGACTAAAGCTTAGAACAGTGCCTGACACAGTTCAGCTTCTCAGTTAAGAGTAATCATTTCTGTTGCTTAATTCCCACTCATCTTCCCATCTCTGACTAATAGTCACTAAGTAAAAGCAACATCAAAATGCATAATCCAGAAAAATAAGATGGTCAAACCTTTGGGAATATCACCACTATGTTAAAATTCTACAAAATTATTCAAAAAGGTGAAAGATGCAGATGGAAAGTTTATATAAGACACACCTGTAACAGTGCTGCTTGGAATAAAAATGTGGACAGAGATGAAAAACTACCTAGACTGGCTCCCTGGTGGCGCAGCGGGTTAAAGCACAGCACTAACAAGCTAAAGCCACTTCCGCATAAGTTTGATCTCTGCCCCCGAGGTGACCCACATGGCGCAGCAGACCTCTCCTGACCCGCCTGCTGCTCCCCTCAGCAGTGTACTTTGTCGTCAGCCTGTTCTGCTCCGCACTCTGTCTCTGGTGAATCCTCTCACCACACCTGCACCACTGGCCAGTACCCCCAGTTCTGTATGCATAAATGACTTCTTTGAGTGCGTGAGTGGTTGGATCCTTAAAGTGAACAAAATAGGCTTTTTTTTTCTCCTTCACATTTTGAGTACTCTTCTGTTTCAGAACAAGAAAGGAAGGTAAAAGGAATTGGGCTGAGTTTTGCCATAGGCAGAAGGAAAGTTCAAAATGAGTAACAAGCTTGATACGGAACTATAAATATAAATATATGTATACATCATAAAAATAAAAGGAGGCCCTTCCTGGTGGCGCAGCAGGTTAAAGCACTGCACTAAGAAGCGTAAGCCAGTTCTGCATGAGTTCGATCCCCGCCTGCCCCGGAGGAGATCCACATGGCGCACCAGACCTCTCCTGAACCGCCTGTTGCTCCCCTTAGCAATGTACTTCGTAGATCTGCCTGTTCTGCTCCCCACTCTGTCCCTGGTGAATCCTCTCACCCTCCGCATCTCTGGCCTGTACCCCAGTTCAGTATGAATAAATAAATAAATCTTTAAAAAAAATAAATAAATAAAAATAAAAGGAACCCCAAATTGGTAACTCACTGAACATTAGCAAGGTTGGTTTTTAAAGCAAATATTTGTACACATTTACTGACTAAGACTATTCCAATTTATTCATTTATACTGGAATAAGAAATCTTCTGATATACTCACTCCATTTAAATTTGCTTTAGCTTGTGCTCCATATGTTTCTTCAGATCCTAAGATTTGAACTTGAACTTCACTATAATCGTCCAAGCCAGTTTCTTTAAACATAAGGCGGGTTCTGCATCAATATAAATGTGATAAAAATGTATTCATGAATTTATAGCAAGTTCTGATATTTCCCTTATTTGGGTTCCTCAGAAGTTATTCATTTGGGATTATAATGACAAAAGAGTTAAGTGCTTGATTACATTTAAAGTATTAAGGCACTTTAGAGCACTTAAGGCTATCAAACGCTCCTATGGTGACTTCCATATAGTAAGGGATTCAGTAAGAGATAGTTCAGAAAGAATGAGTTAGTGAGTAAACAATTTAGATAAAATTACAAAAATAGAAATTGCAGCTCTCCTTAATTTAAAAACATTTAAATTAAAAATTTGTTTTTAAATTAATTTTAAAACATTTAAATTAAAAATAGAAATTGCAGTTGTGCTTAATTTAAAAACATTTTGATTATTAAGCAACAGGATCACAGGCTATTTTCATTCATTTGCTTGCTCCTGTATTTCTGTACTTTTAAATATTTTGTGGTCAGCATGTTGAAAAAGAATGAAATGATTTGATATGGTATGGTTGCCTTATTAAAGAAGAAAGTAGCACTAAATTGTTTTTTTATATCTCTTACCAATATTTATTAATAGGGGTTTGAATATTGAACCCAGGTTCTCCTGACTAACTAATAACATGCTTTCAGTCCATAACATGGTAAGGAGCTTTCTACTGTGGGCAGGATGCAAATGAGTGACTTAAGCATTGGAAATTTTATAAAGCCTAATTCAATTCAGTTATAGAAATATTATGAAATTTCTTTATATGAATATTTATTAAAGAAGAACTTTAGGGACAAACTAAATGAGCTTCAGACACCACACAGTTGGAGGTGCCATGAGACCTGTCAAAACACCTATCCCGTAGATTTTATCACCTCTGTTCATTGTTATTCTGAACTTCTAGGGTACAGGGAGAAATGAATAGGTTTTCTCGTAGCATGTAACATCTACACATCTTTTCTCATACTTTCTTGCTGATGGATACGGGGCACAATGAATGGTGCAGCACTCATGTTTACAACCTGACACTATACAATGTGCTGAATCGGTGTCTAAATATCTGGGGGGGGGGGAATGTTAAGTGATCAAGTAATGATTCTTGTTCATGAATTTGACTGCTAACATGTTACCTGGAAAAACCTTTATTTTATTCATACACAAACCTTTTCAGAATACTTTCAGCTGTTCTCCTTCCCTTTTCAGTTGCTTTGGGCCCTCCCAGGACACAGACAGCGGTGGCTCTGAAACCATCATGGTAACACGAACTTACCTGCAGATGTAAGATTGCATAGATAAGCACAGTTACTAATGTCTGCCAACAATTTTAACATGCCCTAGAATGGAGCATATAACTCCCAGTGAGAATGACTTGATCTATTCTAAGTACATAAATAAATAAAGTTTACCATTTCCTCAATGAAACAATGATTTTCATAGGGCAATGAATCATAAACAATATCAATTAAGCAAAGATGGGATTGTTCCACAACCATGTTTTCAGCCAAGTTGCTGTAAGAAATTAACATTTATCCTGAATTAAATCTCCCTGTCTATATAGCACAGAAGGAAATGCCTCCTCCCTCAAGTCTACAGTGACACCAAAATAACAGAAAAGACCTTATAAAAGGAGGAAGGAAGAGACCCCTTTGCTCCTTGTACTCGCACGGCTCCACCTTCAATACCTAAATAAAGAGAGAAAACAGTATCACTTATTTTTAACACAATACTGGTCACTACTTTTACCAAACAACAACAACAAAACACCAGTTTTTGCAAGTGAACTAAAAAAAAAAAAAAATACCGAATGAAGGATATTAGAAATGTCCTTAAAGCCAATAATAATGCTCTCCCTCGTGGTACAGTGGGTTGAAACACACCACTGCAAGTAGCAGCTGCTTCAGTGTTCGATCCACAGACCCGGAGTTGATTCACATGGCCGGACGCACTCTCCTGTCTCCCATGCTGCACCCCTCAGCAGAGTACTTCTTAGATCTGCCTGTTCTGCGCCATACTGTCTCACCACCAGCTGAAACTGGCTCAAACCAGTGCTAACTGGCTGAAATCGGTTCTGACCGGTTCAAAATCATTTAAAACTGGGTGAGACCAGTTCAAACTGGTTCAAATGTCTGAAGCCAGTTCAAACTGGTTCCAGGCAGGTTTTGACCAGCTCAAACGAACCAGCTGAAAACGGTTCAATCAGTTCAAGCTGGTTGACAATGGTTCAAAAGGGTTTTGGCATTTTGCATTGCGCTCCGACCATGTCAGACCTGTCAGAGACTTCTAGAAGCTTTTAAACTTATAGCAACCTTCAGAAAATGGTCTCAAATGCTCAATCCGGTTTCAGCCGGTTCCGACTGGTTTCAGCCGGTTCAAGCGTGCTTAAATCGGTTTAGACCAGTTCAAACTGGTTCAAGCCTGTTTAGACCGACTCAAACCGGTTCTACCCTGTTTAAGACGTCTGAACACGTCACACATGCCTGGGAGCATCTTGACTCTTTCCAAGTGATACCAACCAGCTGGGAATGGTCGCAATGCTGAAACAGGTTACAAGTGGCCTGATGCAGATCAAACCCGTTCGAGCTGGCTCAAACTGGTTTAGACTAGGTCAAAACAGTTTCAGCCGGTTCAGACCAGTTCAAGCCAGTTTCAGCGGGTTCAGACCAGTTCAGGCTTGTTTCTGCCGGTTCAAACTGGTTTGAGCCGGATCAAACCGGTTTAAGCCGGTTCAGACCGGCTCAGACCGGTTCAAACTGGTTCAAACCGGTTTCAGCCGGTTCAAACTGGTTTATCCAGTTCAAGCCGGTTTCAGCCGGTTCAAAACTGCTAACGCCAGTTTGGACTGATCCCAAATAGAAATGTAAACACGTCACACATGCCTGGGAGCCTCTTGACTCTTTACAAGTGATACCAACCAGCTGGGAA